TCCGTAACATATTTGAGTTATAAATCAATTTATTACGTAGTTCTAGCTATAAATTGAGAATATCACCAATCTCATCTTGTATCTGCTGCCCCAAAGGCCCCTTGGTAGAAGAATGTCTTTTTAAATCTAGTAGCTTAAGTAATTGTCTCTTTATCTAGAATTAGTGAGTTGTGTCATACATTCTGAATATTTTAAAATACTTAAGGACTGAAGAATGCGTTTTACTGAACACAACAAGAAAGACGGGTATTGCATCCACTAAGTAGATTTAGAACCCCAAAAGTGGGTAAACGGCACCACATCACACAATGTGGAAATTTCGAAATTTCACCTGATGGCAGAACAGACGTTATCCTTGGCATCTGTGTTCCAGTCGAAAGTCCTCGCAGACAGGTACGTATCAAGAAAATACCGATTCCTATTTTGTCTCGGACATAGGTTGGAATACAAATGTCTGAAAAGGCTAACAAGGCCACAAGTGACGATTTCATTCTCCTTAGTAAGACATTCTCTTAATCAGTAAAAACGAAAAATCCATGCATAACAAGCTAAACTACGATACAGTTTTCTTTACTCACCGTTTAGCAGATTTTGTCGTGGACAAAGAATGTGCCCCTCGGGTTTTTATGTACTTCTAATGCCGGGAAATGGCCGTACCTATATTAAATACTTCCAGGTGCTTATTACACACGTCGGAATCCTAGTAATTTTCTTCCGATCGAGGTAGGTGTTTGGCAATGAAACTAACGTTAAATATTTAAGCAATCTAAATGTGCAACCTTCAATAAAAATGAATAGGCAAATGTTCTATGCACTTTAAAGCTTGCAGCCAAACTTGAAGACAGGCATTAAGGTACGTCATTTCCAAAAGTTAGTAGTAGTGTAGTATGCAGTCGGAAAATTCAGCTTCACGGCTTCTCGAACTCACGGTTCCTTATTTTCGGCCCTTTGTATTGTTACTTCTGCAGGATCAGCAAAAAGGAGTAATTAGTTGACTTTAATAGATTATTCTCAATTGTTAGGCGAAAATGAGATCTGGTACTGTTTTTCTTTTCGGCAAGGGCATGCGCGGAAGACATCGCCGCCTGGCAGCGCCAACATCGGTACGACTTCAAAGCTCTCCCAAATGCTTACGGCGACCAGTAAGTCCAATTCGAGTGCTATTTCTAATGAATCCCCTGCTTTTGTCCTGAACAGTGTTATTCTCCGGTTATCAAAAAGAGAACTTAAAAAGAATTCAGTCCTATTTCAAGTGGAGCAATATCCTGCAGCATCTTAACAAAACGGCCTTTTGATAGCTTGAAAGCCTTCCAAA